GGGCTCAGTGGGTTTCAAGTGAGGGACGTTTTGGCAGCAGGACAGTGTGAGGAGAGAGTGGACACTTGAGCTGATAAAGGTTCAAATGTAGGATCATGGATGCTATCTATGCTGGCTTCTAAGCCTTAAAACTGCCTCCCAGCCAGGGTCCTATGGTCTGAATAACCGGCATAGCAGGAGCAGAGGGAGAGGCAACCTGCAGAACAGGAGGAAGAAGAGTTGATTCTTATTCAGCTTCCTCCAAACCTAGTAATTTGTCCACAGCCATGTACAAAAGCACCTGAGGAATTTGGGAGACCCGACTCTCCACCTAGCCACAAACACTGTCAGGAGTTTGTAGAGACCGGTACAAATTGAGGTCCCTCCTCCCAGACTGGTCTGCCTTTGCTTGCCTCAGCAATGCTGTGTATTTGGGACCTTCAGGAATCAGAGCTATCCGTGCTTATTTTCACTACGGGCCACAGAGCCTATATAGTAAACGGTAAGGAAGGATCCGAGCACATTGCACCACCCCTTACAGCTGCTGGGCAATAAGCAGGGGTGCTTTGTGTTCTCCAAATGTCCTTTAGCAAAGCTCAGTGCCACTTCTCTCCTGACAGGACAGCAATGGAGCTGCAGATCCATACTGACTTAAGTAGCAAACTATAAAACACAGTGACTTTGCCCCATTTCACTTTGAGCTATGGCTGCTTTTCTTTTTGCTGCTCTTCTATGATCAACATATTCACCCATGTGTGTTATTTGGAAGCAGAACTAGCTTCAGTTCCAGCTACCGTATGACCAGCTGCTCCCTATGCTCCATGTACACAGCCGAAATTCAGTACTTCCCTCCTGCCCTGCAGCCTGTCCTGGGTCCCCCCAGCCCTGGCCTGCAGCAGACCCTGTTATTTCTCTCCCGTGCGATCCATCCTCAGGTGCCTCCTGAGTCGAGTGCCCCAGATTCCATACCTCACTCTCTCTCAGCTCATCAACTAAAATAGACTTGCCGATATGGGGACAGAAGAGAAAAGAAACAGACTGTATCATCTCAGTCAAGCCAAAACACAACTTCTGAATTGCTCAGGGGGAAAGGTCGCTGGACCAGCAGTTTCTGACACCAGACAGAAAAGGAAGAAACACTTATGAACTCACTAGGGAAAAAAATCTAGCTGGATGATGAAAGCACCAAGCCAACAGCATCAGAGAGAGAGTCTCACCTTTCAGCACTGCCCAGCTCAGCTCCATTTGCTTTAGTTCCAGCAAGCTCCACAGGCACCTGCATGGGCATTCATGACAAATTTTTGTTCTATATTTTATTAGCCCCCGCTCCCCACAATGATTCAGAAACCTGGAGGATTATCATATCATCACCCAGATAAGCCTGGAGAAGTAGCAGCTCAGCTCAGGAGAGTCTCTTTCTTCCCCTGATGCTTGGAAATACATATATTAAAAAAAAACCAATAATCCCCTGAAGCTTATAATAGGACTTATTAAATACTAAAATGCAAGTGCTTGCATTCTTCTTCTTGTTGCAACAATCTATTAAGTGAGAGGCATCTGCAAAGTACATCACCCAGGGATGAATGTCCCTGCCACTGACTATAATGCAGCTGTAATTCCAGACCAGGGTTTCTGGCTGAAATCACCACATGCCCGAGATGGATTCATAACCCTAATTTACATGCATTTCAGGGCAAGTTATTTAATACTACACAGAGTTAAAAATAAATCTTCCCTTGCCTTTACCTCATGCTTCCCTCCCTTCCAATTCCTCCAGTTGACAGATTATTAGTTTTACTTTATATAGAACATTTCATCTCAAACCAACAAACTCAGATGACTACAGGCCAAATTCTCTTCTCCCCTCCCTCCCCTTCAAAATCCTAGATTTCAAACAAGTTGCACTTGATTTTCACTGCAGGGTGAGGGGGGAAATTTTCAAGGCCATGCACATGCCAGCAGGGGAATGCACCCACTTCTGAGGTGAAGTCAGGTTCACAGCGTGGCGCAGAAGGGCATGCAAGGGGAACTATTTATTTACCATGTGCATTACAGCCAATATCCGCTCTGTGCTCTCCCCAGTGCCCCTTCTCCTATGCAGGTAAAATGTAGGTTTCTAAGACTCGCTTAACAGAGTTTGCTTGCACCCTCAGTACTTCCAGCTTTTCTAGGAGAAGTGGATAGATTTGCAGCAGTCAGTAAGGGATCAGACTGAGATCCACTTTCCTACTGGAGAATGATAGACAGAAGGGATCCTCCTACATTTGAACCTGGATTCAAATTAGAACTGGTTTCTAGAGAAGTCTTAAAAAAAACCCAAAAAAACCCCCAAAAAACAAAAACCCTGATGATTATAGCATAAGCCACTCCACCAAGCTACTTGAAAATGAAGTCAGTTAAAGCTGCACTGAACTTTTCTGTTTTCATGCACCTAAGCTCATCTAGGCTCTCTTCTAGGCTTCAGCTTGATTTGAATGAAAGGACCTAGATTGTTGAGCTAAGCCCTATCTTGCCTTTAACTCCATTGACTGCCAGAGAATACCCCAGTAAGGACTTTGATGTACTGTATTTTTCAAGGGATTTTAGGTGCCTTTCAAACACACTCCCATTAAAATTTGTAACCAAGTCTAAGTGCTGTAAGGCATCCTGTTTCTGCAGACTGGGATAAGCAGATGGGGGGGCTGGGCTGGCAGGCCTGTCTGCTGATTGCCTCAGACCTGTCCACTGGGAAGGAAGGTTAGATTTGATGGTTAAGCCTCCATTCTCAGGGAAGGGCTTGATTCTTGGTGACATGGCAACCAGGCAATTGCCCTCTCCATGTGAACACTAATTGTCCAGTTTCATTGTGTGGAATGCAGTGCTCATGTTGGGGTAGTTTGCTTGAGCTCTTTTTACTTCCCTAGGCAAGAAATGCTCACAGGGAAAGCAGGGCCTTTAGCTAGTGAGGCATAAAGAGCTTTTGCAGAAGAGAGTGATGCTAAAGCAATCAGCCAGCAAACCTTTTGAAGGAAAAGGGGGTTATTTTCCTTCCTTCCCTTTCTGATGCACAAATTGCATCAATTATAGCTTTTCCTGACTCTTAAACACCTGATGGCCGGGAACTGATTGCACCCATCTGAAAACGTGCCAGTTTTGAATGCACAGAGTCCCCAGAGCCTGACGCCCTTCGCATATTATGTAACTACAACTCGCTAAGTGGCTACGCCCAATTAAAGTTCAGTATTGATAAGACTCCAAAGGAGGTCCTGGGGATCTAGCAAAGATCACACGTGCTAGTGGGAAGGATGTGGGAGAAATCATAGCAAGACAGCAGGAGAGATAAGAAACAGTTGAGACCCTCCAAGCTCAGGCAGGAAACAAAATGAAGAGGAAGATAAAGGAGATCTCATGGCTAGAAGCTGAAGCTGGACAAATTCAGAGTACAACTGATGCCTGGATTTCTAATAGGAAGGTATTTAACCATTGGAACAATTTACCAAGCTTACCCTTTGGTAATCAGCCACCAAAGAGACATGGTGGATTTGCTTATTTGCATTCTTTAAAGCAAAATGATACCTCAATTGTGATTCAAGCAGATGTTATAGCCCATAACATAACTTATGGGTTCAGTGCAGGAATAGCAGGGTATAATTCAGTGCAACACAGGAGATCAGATTGCTCATTATAATGGTCCTTTCTGGCCTTCAATGCTTTGGGTAAAGGGAGAGAGACTTGGAAGTTGGTAGGGATTTCAATGACAGGATGCCGCACTGAAGTTCACCAAACTCATTGAAGGGAAAGCACCAGCAGAAGCTCCCACACACTGGCTGTTTTGGAGGAATCGCAAGAAGTCACAGTAATAGGGCCAGCTGCCTAACTTAAAGATGCCCAGTGTTGCTTTACCAACACATGGGCACATTCAGGGGCATTTGTCACCAAAAACCTAGGTTTCATCACTTCCTTTAAGAATGTTGTGGCCACAGGACAAGCTTATGTTGTGTGGAATGAGAAGAACTTAACTTTTGATTTACAGACCCAAATGCCTGCCAGAAAAATAAAGCCAATCTTTATAGTTTCTTATCTATAACCACTATCAGGCAGCCCAGGGGAGCAGACAAGTAAATCTGGACATGCAAGAGTCAGTAGCATTATAGAAAGCTGATGACAACACTTTTAGGAAAGGATAAGCTAAGACAGTAAGGCAGGCTACAACAGTATCTGTGACCAGCATGCACACACAAAATCCTTCCATTCAAATGAAGTAGGAAACCACAACAGAACAGGACTTTCACCCAAACACCTATACGATCGTTACCAATGCAACCCGGGCAAGAAGCAATGCCCGAGGAGGAAGAATGGCAAGAGGCATCCCTGGAAAGCTTCCATGGGCTCACTTTCACTCCCTAATCCCATTTACTGTACCTTAGGGAGAGCTATTTTAAACTCTAAAGGAGGGTGATGGACAAAATTTGAACTCATAGTCAAGGATGAGACCAGAGGGAAGAGAGCTCTAACTGCACCCCTTGGCCATAGCTGCCCTGATGCAGACTTCCAGCAACAGGAGCAGTAGTTGGTTGGGAAGGCACTCTTATCAGCTTGAGAGAAAGTCTGCTGACATATAACAGTAACAACCCTGATGTGAGCCAAACTGACACACGCACAGTCTAATCTGCTTGAAAACCTTGCTACTAGTCACTCTCATTCAGCTCAGGATGCTTGACACTACTCTCAAAGACCAAGCATATGGGGAGAGAGCAAGAGTGACTGGGCTGACACCTTTAACTGCTGATTATTAAGTCCTCTGCACTTTTACTAGATATTTCAGTCCTTTGTAAAGGTTATTTATGGCACATAGTGATTTGGCAACTGCTGAATCCTGTTTTCATTTTGAGTGGAAATGAGCTGTTTCCAGCGCGGTCACTCTTATTGCTCTGAAAAAAGAAGCTGCTCCTCTAAAGCTTCCTGTTACCTTAAAGCGAGTTTCCCCAGTTTAGAGCTACACAATAGAAAACAAACATAGCAATAAATCCCATCATACAATTCTTGTAAAAAGTTGTCTATTTAGTTTTTCTGTATAAAAACAAAGAAATCCTGGCCAGGAAATATACAAGTCACTTACTGAATTTTAACACATATTACAACAAATTTCAAGTTATTTGGGAACAGCCCAACAGCATCTTCTGCACCTGGTACTGAAAAACAGGTCTTGAAAATTGTAAAAGGATTAGACTACACTCCATTTTCTGACTCTCTTTCCACCAAGAAGTCTATTTTTCTGTGTGGTAGGAGTATCCAAATAGTGCTTATCTGATGTCTTGCTGGCGAAGAGATAATAAATATCACTCTGCAAATGAAGATGGCTCAATATTTTTGGTTACTGCATTGTCTGAATGGGCCAGCAGTGGTTAGAGGCAACACGTTTCTACTACTGCAACCCAAAGGTGTTGAGGGCAGACATGAATCTGTTCTTCTACTTCACTGGATCTCTCCCATGTACAGTCTTTTGTCACTGGAGGCAGAGAGTACTGGGGAGGAGGAAACACAGAAAGTTAGGAGTCACAGGAGAGCTTAGCTACTAAATTAAAAGACAAGTGGGTCCTCAGCACTTATTTCACTTGACTACATAAAGTAAATTTTGAACCAAACATTTTCTCCTCAGAAATGCTTGGCAGAATTATCAATTTACTGGCAGCCAACCAAGTTTTCCATTCTTATTTTTCTACCCCAAGGTATACTTGGAAGTGTATTTCCTATTAACTTACAATGCTGCTTATACAGTTATTGCCTGCTTGTATTAATCTCCTTGCTTTTTTTTTTTTTTTTTAAAGGCAATAAAATAGCAATGAAATGTCACAAAAATGTCATTTTTCTTTGGAAAAAAGCATTCAAATCGTAAGAATTAAGCACTATAATTCAGGTTGCTGGCCACTAGAGGGAGCAATGCTTATATAAAAAAGCCTCTAAGGGCCATTATTCTTGTTTACCACAAGTCATAAAAGTACAATGCAGCTATCATTCAAGCATAATGAAACACTGCTCTACCTTTAATTCAGAAGTGGATGTTCTCTGGATTCAGTGCATTATCACATTTGAGAACTCTCTATCCAGACATGATACCTCCCCACCCATACAAAGGCCAGTCTTCCAGGCAAGTCAATGGAAGATGGGGTTTTTTTTTGCATATGGACTTTACAGTTAGGTCCACAGTCTCATTATGGTTTGGAAAAACTAAGCTCCTCACTATGAAGAAGTCTGAATTTTGGGGCAGGCGGAGCAATTTACAAGATGAATTCCCTTTGACATTTACCAGGCGTCGACTGTATAAACCTCTGCGCAATGAGGATTTTTTTTTTTTTTTTTTTTTTGAGATGAATGACGATTCACAGAGGAGCTTAGCTGGTTGCAATTACAATTACCTGTTCTGCACCAAAGGGTCAAGATTGCTTGCCTTTAGCACTCTCTGTGATCCAAATGCAGAGCAGTGAATAACCAAGATAGAAACTCATAACTCATTGCACTCAAATCATACACCCAAAGCTCTGCTCATATTTTCATTTTTGGGAAAAAAAGCAGCTTCCAATTACTCTTACAAGGGCAACTTATGTCAGCTTCCTAACCAACGTAATGTAGTGACCTATCCTACAGCCAACAAGTCTTTGTTTCCATGGAAACAAATGTCACTGCAGCCCTCTCTGCACTACAGAAGATAGTCCTAAGAAACTGATGTTCAGAATGGTTTCAGCTAATGCACAGCATGGTTAACATGGCTATGGAAATGTTATCAATGCTGACTGGGTTAAATCTTCCCCTGTCCTCATGTGAATCCCAGTATTGTGAATTCTGTTACTAGTTCTTGAAACAGGGCGTTTCAAGAACCAACAACTCTCAAGGTCAAAACTAACTCTTCCTAACACACTCATACCCTGAAATCAAGAGGGCACAACTTCCGGGTGTGATGGGTTTATGTTAGGGGGAAATCAAACATCACCAGAGCAATGCAACTCATCCCAGGTAAGATGAATGAAAGTAAATACGGTTGAGTTATGCTGTTTGCTGAACGCAGCACTGCTGCTTGTACAAATCCTACAACAAAAAGCCCTTCTTTGGGGCTCTTGGGAAGTCATTCCAGTACTACTAGGCCCAGAAATGTTTCAGTAGTTAGTCCCATTTCCCCAGGAGCCTTCAGCTTATTGACAATTCAACATGACTTACTAATTGGTTCCTCTGGATGGAAAGCCACCTCATTTACTGAGCCAGCATGGCCTGGCAATTTGTAGAGAATTCTCCTGGAGGTTGTGTCCCACACATAAACAAACCTGCAAGATATAATCGTTAAGAGTGTGAAACTTTCCAATGGTAGGACATCGAAAAGGAAAGCAACTGCCCCTAACCTGCCTGAATTTTGTAACACTTCTCCAATTACACTTTAATAATTACAATTCTGTTTTCCAACTTTACGAACTGTGAATTTTCTCAAATTAAACCACATCACTGGGTTCAGGTAACCACAAGGACTGTATAATTTTCAGGCAGGGAAGTAAAGATTAAATCCAATAAAAAGAGACTTACGTGCTTACAAATGAGGAACTGCAGTGCCTAACTTTCAGGTACCTGTTTTCCAGAGTATAATGCAGTAATGAAGATCAAAAAGTTAGGTTCCATCCACTGGGCACAAGGAGGGTTCAGCACCCCAGAAGGGTGATCCAAAACATGCACACTTAATGGGAAGCCACCTAAACCTAGCCTTTAGGAAATGCTAAGTCAAGGGGTCTATATGAACGCATATACCCTCCTTGAAGCTCTTCGGAACTCATGCTCCAAGCAGGAGCTTTATTTCCTGAGAAACCCAAGTGTATGATGGACTCTGGACTCCGACCAAGGACCCACAACTGTTTGTTTCAGGAGTGGAGATGAGCATACAGTGTTTTCCTTTAAAGACCCAGCTGGGGGAGAGGGAGGAGAAGGAACAAGTCACCGTGTTATATAGTTTAGTGCAGTGGTGCTCAACATTTTGGCCCCTTAATCCAGATTAATGGTGCAGGGCCAGATCGGCCCCCGAGTTTTGGGATTGGGCTCTGGGGCCGCACGCTGCCCCAGTCTAGTGCACAGAGTCACAGCCTATGGGGAGCCTCATGGGCCAGGGACTTAATACCTGTGCTCTAATGGGTAGAGAACTGCCCAGGACATGGGAAACTTGAATTTGAGAAAAAGTCCTCAGCCTTGGGAGGCAAGATGATGTCAAATCACATTCCAACCTCCAAGGAATGTCCTAACCACCCAGCTATAGATAAGGTGGGAGTTACCACTGTGCAATAGGGAAATGCAATATTCACAGGGTCAGAAAGGGACCCAGATACTGTAACTTGGGACACTCATTTGGAAAGGGGGAATCCTGACTTCTAGTTCTGTTCCTTGGACTATTGCACATTACCATCACTCAATTTAATTAAAAATCCTACAGAAATAATCCTAGAATGATGAACCCAGGACTCCCCCAACCGCAAAGGACAGTATCCTAATGCCAGACTGGAGTCAGGCTACCCCTTGTGCTCCGTCTTCCTGGCCTCTGAATCTTGAAATCCTAGCTGAACAGCAGCACATCTTCAAAAGGAAGTAGGGAAGGTGGCTCATGCATAGCCTAGCCTACAGCTTTGTGGTTAGCATGCTCTCCTGAGACTTGGGAGATGTAGCTCTGAACCCCTCCTAGGTGAGGAAAGCCTAGAGCCCAGGTGTCCTGTTCCCTGCATATTTGCTAACTGGTAAGTTATTACATCACAGGCACCTAGAAAAATACGCAGGAGAAACCAAGAGACAACTACTGGGTTTTACATGCTTCTGGGGCTAGGCGGGACTTAAATCTGGCTAACAGAAGGCGTCACTCCCACACTGAGAAGAGCACAATACCAAGCCTTACCAGTTTGAGTTCACATATGTGGGCAGGGAACACGCACATCTACTGAGTCAGAGATCTTTTACAGGAGAAGGACAAGAAACAACCAGCCAAAACCAGTTTAATTCCTCTACATACAACTTTCACAGAAAATGGCCATTTCCCATGCAGCGACAAAGCCACAATTTACTACTAAGCATTATAAAGTTATTAGAGAGTTGACCAGATTTTCACAAAGCCCATCTGATCACCCCTTCCACATATCTCCCTCTACCTCTCCTGCTTCCACCTTTCCTGGCTACATCACCTTGCTTAAAGGACACTGTGAAAGAGATGCTCAAACACTTCATGTAATGGTTCGAAAATAAACTGCTGACACTATGAGAAGTTCAACTTTTAAGGACATTATGTTTATAAACAGTCTGCATTTAAAAAGGGATAAAAACCCATTACATATCAACACTCCAGAATGCAAATTTGTGCAGAAACATTTTTCCTTGTTGGAAATGCTCTTCACTTTGTATGTCATTAGCTGATTCGTTAACACGCATGTTTTACTGAAAAATAAGGTGGTGTTTTGACCTCAGCTGCAGTGAGATTTTATAGGAGTACTTTTTGTCAGTCAGAATGGAAAGAGCTATTCTGAAAGAAGCATTATAAACTAGGCAAGGCTACATTATATCCTACTTGAACCACTTCCTTTCAAATATACCACAAGTGCTTTACCACATGAAACACTACTTGTAACAAAGTTCACATCTCTTAAAAAAAAAAAAAAAAAAAAAAAAAAAAAAAAAAAAAAAAAAAAAAAAAAAAAAATCAGTGACATGGGTTTAGGAAGGCTGCCAATTATGGACTACATTTAGACTGCCTTCTCATTTTGCTTTGCCTTGGAAACATTAGCAGAAAGAAGAATTGTTCGTGCAAGTGACCAGTGTCTAAGACTAATTCTATTAGGTAGGAAAAGAATTTTGACAGTCTAGTAATTGGCTTGTCTAACTGTGGATACTGGATCTGCTGCACTCAAGGCAAAAGGCATTGCTGGGTCCAAAGGGGACACTGCAAAGAACAGGAACACAAAAGATAATCAGACAAGAACAACAACCAAAAAAAGAAGCGAGTAAAAGCTAGCTACCATGCTGTGTTATTGAAAAAAGATGTCTCTATAAATGGAGCTGGGCAGCTCCATGTTTCTAGTCTCAACCTTGCAGCCAACATCCTCTGCATTAAACTCTTTTTTCAGCAGCTATGCCAACAAATCTGAATGCCAGTTTTATCTCACTTATGCATTATTATCAGAAATTGAGACTTTGCAGACCAATTCCTCAGTGGGCACATCTACACGAGACGTTTACTGCTGAGTGGCTAATTAGCTCCGCAGTAAATGTGTCGGTGTCTACATGTGTGGTCCTATTAGGCTGCAGGAAACTAATAAATTCCGCAGCACGGTAGTACTTGTAGATACAAGTACTAGCCTGTTCCAGAGTTTTTTTACTCTGCAGCACTGCATATACAGACGCTGATATGGCTGGCTGGGGCACAAGGGTGGTTCAGCGCAGGAGCTGCCTGGCAGCTAGTCTTGCAGTGGAAAACCCTTATGCCTAAACCAGCTTCTACGCAGCACACTGAGCCAGGTTGGAGCAGCCCTACCCTGTTGACCCTTGAGCCCTCTACCAGCTGGGGCTGCTCCGACCCAGCTCAACATGCTGCATTTATATATGTACCCAGGACCACAGCATCTGAGAGCAATAGACTCTGGTGCAATATGCACTGGAATTTACTGAGTCACATTAATATGCATGTGTTGATGTGCCCAGTAGCACCTGTTCAATCTTACAGTCTGCAGTAGGGGTTTACAGAGCTAACTGAAGGTAGAATTTTTCCTGCATTTAAAATTTTGTTAACATTTAGCTGAAACAGAATCCAGCTCTTTCCTTGCTGACTCTACTGGACCAACTCATCTCTGTCAATCAAGTAGGTCCGTTTGAAGAGGTACATAGAGTAGATCTGCTCTGTAAAAAGTACTCCCTTTTGAGGCTGGAAGCACTCTATAAATTGTTTTAATGAAACAAGTAAGAGGGAAATATATGCTGAAAACAAACATGTGACTTAGGTGTGAACACTTACTTAATGGAGCATCTATTTAAACCAGAGCCAGGCTATTTAAACTCAGAAGGTGAGAACTGTGACAAATCTTTGCTCTGAAACATTCCCTCCTGCTGTATATTTTCTTTAATGCTGTGGGGGAGAGGGATGGCACTTTTAATTGGATCTTTTCACCACAACAAGCTCTTCAAGGCTCAGCAGATAGTTATTTTACACATATTAGACTCTGTCTAAATTTAGCCAGTGTAAGGTCCATGCAATACAGCAGGAAGCCAATCAATAGCTGGCAACCAACTTTTACACCTCAAAGAAGCAGAACAATTATTTTAATTTTTCTTTCCTAACAGGGCTTTAACAAAAAGACTCTTGGCAGACACACAGGCAGAAATATTAGATACTGGCCTCATCTCTACTGCCACAGGTTGTGGAACTGCACCCAGCACCTTGGGAACTAACTTAATACCTTTGACTTTAATACTGAGTCCTCAAGTTCAGGACCAGCCACAGCACTAACAAATAATAGTAGCTCTACTGTATAAGTAGTAACAAATTACCATTACATGTAGCAGCATTTGGAGAAAGTGTCATACCAAGGTCACTTGGTCCACCAGCTGGTCCTTAAGTAACCAGACAACAAAACCAAGAATTCCTCCCCTTACACATTATTATAAGTTTGTTTTTCTGCTGACTGCACCTGCCCATATGCCCATCTTGAATCTGTGCTTGCCAAGGAGCTATATACCACTTGATGTGCATTTAGAGGAGTTCCTTCCAGCTGTGTCAGCATCCAGCTTCATCTTATCCCATGCTACAATCCAACGTTTCTGGATTACTCTGTTCTCCTCCTTGGTTGTCCTTCGTTTACAGCACCTTCCTATTTCAGATCCCAGAGGGAGCTAATTTATACACCTTTTTACTCTTTCAAAATCACTAGCAATAATATAAAATTGAAATAAAGCTAGCAGGGACCCCTTGAGTACTCCACTGAACATTGCTCACACAGCAATCTAGCTCTGCTTCTGATCCTTTGGTTCATTTTCAGATCAGCTGAATGTAGTAATACACAATCCATCTGATTATGGTGCTTCTAGTGCAGTGCACATCCAGTGCTCCAAGAGATTCAGATATATTACAGAACATTCCTTTTCAACCGCATTTACCTGGCACCATAAAGTTGCTTCTAAACCTGGTTCTGTTTATTCTTGAAGGCTTACCACCCTTAGGGTTAACAGGCAAAGAACATAAAAATCAATCTGTCACAGATATCATGGCAACACAAAATACCTCTATATGGTTGCATTAATGGCCTGCTGTGTTAGGACCAGTAATTTCATTCCCAGCCCTGCCTCTGACCTTGTGAACTGTATGTGCCTCTCCTTCCTCATTTGGAAAATTGGTCTACTAGTATAGGACTCCCAGGGTTAAGCTTTGCCAATGCCTCTAAAATACTTTGGGGTGGAAGGTGACACAGGACGATTAACTTACCGGTCTGCTGACCCGCCTGCAATTTTACTCCCATCTGGTGACCATGAACATCTCAGAAGATTCTGAACAAAACCAAGAATACATGTTTCCACTTATGAAACAAGATTTAGTTTTCCCTTTTACTTGAAATAAAGTCACCACAAGAGACTTTAAATATCACATACCCCACTTTAATGATCTCCCTTTGGAAGACGTGCCTGTAATTACAGGTTGTATTTTATTGCTGGAAATATCCAGTGTCTTGTTATTTTACACAAACTAGATACTAAATGTGGAAAATGTTTAATTTACAGCTAATTATAGCTGAACCAAGCAAAGAAATCTTGTTACTGTGACTTTAATTGGAATCCCACTTTACACATTAATCTTATCCTTCGTCCTTATTAAAGCTTTTCTGGTTTATATTTTGAGCTTAAAAACAATTTACAGACAAGTTAATGGACAGTGGTAGTGCTTCATAAACAAGCACTACTACACTTAGTAGCGTACTCACCTTCTCAAAGTTATGTACGTTCCCCTGAAATATCTTTACGCACCTCTCTTTAGGGGCAAATGGACGCACATCCCAGATACGAACTGTAACAGAGCACAGCTGTCAGCAATTAGCTAAAGGCCACCATAAAACTGGGTGCCAGCAGCCTCTGCACACCAGAGATGATGGGATTAGCAAGCCTCCAGAAATTATTTATTTTCTCTTATAGGCATTTTCTAATGAATCAAGACTTTACTGGAAGCCAGAACTCCTGGGTTCTATGGCCGGCTCTGTCCCTGACCTACCACATCACTTCAGGCAAATCATGTATGCAATTGCTTTTAAAAAACCTTGGTTAAGTGCTCTGAGAGTTATAGAACAACTGCAATATTTAAGTGCTCTTTTTAAAATTAAAACTCATATCAAAACTAGACAAGGTTCCTTGGGTGAACTTGATATCTTTTATTAGACCAACCCAAATGGTTGGAGAATAGTTATTAAGCAAGCTTTTGGGTTCAAAAACCCTTCGTCAGGCTAAGGAAGCTTCAGCAGTTGGTGTGTGCTGAAGCTTCCTTAGCCTGACGAAGGGTTTTTGAACCCAAAAGCTTGCTTAATAACTATTCTCCAACCATTTGGGTTGGCCTAATAAAAGATATCAAGTTCACCCAAGGAACCTTGTCTGCCTGTGTCCTTAGACCAACACAGCTACAACCCAAACCCCCATATCAAAACTACTAATTCAAAAACTATTACACAAAGTAAGCCATCTTTGTTGGGGAGGGCTTTTAGCCCTTTTCTGCTTTAAGTATGTATACACTATCAAAAATGAATTAAAATGATCAGTTATATTCAAGCAATTTTATCTGGGCCAAATCCCTTTCCTGTCCTCCTCCCCTATCACAAGTAGGGAAATTGGAATTAAGTTTGAATTTTCATCCTTCATTCAGTAAATATTTTAGAGAACCTTGTAACGCTTCAGTAGGAGGGCATTTCTGATCCCAAACCCCGAGACTCGCATTCAGATTTATTGTGTTTGGGTTGTTGCTGAAACAACTGGCTTTTGCCAAACTGAAAATCATGAAACTGGGAGATAGACAAATTTGTTTTGACCTGAACAGAAGTGGGGTTACTCCCCCACCGAACATTCCCAAGCACTTTCTCATCTGCTCCAAAGTAACTTCTGAAGGGCTGCCTTCATTTCTCTTTGAGATGAAGAGATAATGAGCCTTACTGGCTGCAAAAGAGCATAACTGTACGTAAAGATTCTCTAACACTGAAACTACAGCTCATGCAGGACCCTAGGCCATCATCTGTGTATCAGAAGACTAGTCCAGCTCTTTCTGTGTTCATCTGGACAGTTGCATAAAGTTACAGTACTCCTCCCAGAACATAATGCAATTCCACTTCTAAACCAGCTGAATTTCTCTGTGACATCTGCCTGCCTGCCTGCGTTTTTACTGCAAGACAGAAACAGTGGAAATTACCTGTGTTGTCCATTGCATTGGAAAGCAAGTAAGAGCCTTCTGAACTGAGACTGAGGCCAGTTACTGAGTCTGCGTGCCCTCTCATTGTGTATGTTAGTTTGTTCTGGCGAAGATCCCATACCTTTAGGGAAAGCATACATACATGTTACATTAATGGAGAGCAAAACAGCAGTAAGCGCAAGTAAATACAGACTGGTAGAAGGAGCAGCCTGATGGCTCTGGAGCCTGAATCCACAAAACGGATATGGCAGCAATACCTTCTTCACACCACCTCAATCTGGCTCAAGTTTGTCTTAGAGAGAACACTTCTTAGGCCTGTTTGCTGGAAGTGTTAACAAAATCCACTTAGGACAATTTATGCCATTGATTCCTATTCAAAGGACCAAATGGAACTACTACCCCAAATCATTTCACAAAGATCACAGAACAGTCACAATACTGAAACAACTTCCAGTCACTACTGGGATGACTTAAGCTCATGAACTGCAAGACAAGCTCCTCATTTGTCCCAGGCAGAAAAGGACATATAGTTTAGCATGGTTCTTACCAAAGATACGCAACTATTTCAGGCACTAAGGGCTATACAGTAGTAAGAAGCTAGATCTCCTACAGCTGTCTGAATACTGCAAACCATTTGACATAGAGGAGGTGGTAGCCAGGTGTTGTGCTCTGTTCTTACTCAAATAGCTATCATGGAGCCTTTATGCTTTTACTTGTCAGGCAGGGGTTGTTATTTCAGTACTACCTTTGAGCAATGTATTTCACAAGGGTGGGACTCCCCATGCCCAGAACCAATGTGCCCAAGTCTCAGATGAGACTGAAACTTAAGTTTCTGAGACAGTACTGCTGTCTGACCAAATAAGCATGTTAGAATTGTTTTACTGATTCAAGAGTAGACGATTAGTTTAAAATGAAATCACTGAAGTTGACCTTAAACATCTATCAACTCTTTTCTTACTTAATTGAAGATAAAACATATCCTTGTAAAAACTAAAGCAAAGCCTGGAAACAGTGTAAATACAGAGGACAAGTCAACCTAGTTCTCCAATCCACACGATTATAATTGTCAGACTTCAGTCACCACCAAATTGTATCCATTATACCCAATATAATATGAATGTTCTCCTTAAAAGGTTTTGGGAATCTAATTTTTTGATGATTACAGTAGACAATTATGATAAAACAGACAGCATACCTTGATATCATTGTCTATGCCTCCTGAGATAATTTGGTCACTGGTGTCATTGAAGGTTACTGCCAATACCTGATAAGTATTTTGAAATGTCTGGACAGCAGCTTTTTTCCTGATATCCCACAGCTGAAAAAACATGGGAAACAACAATTTAAATTATAAGTATAATGCATATTTCATAATACAACTACAGTAAGATGCTCACAAACCAAAGTGCTACAAGATTTAATCTGGGTGAGAGGACCTCAACAAAACCTATGGTCCTAACATCATGTTAGACTTTTTAAAATGTATTTTCTTTTTTGGGGGAGGAAGGGGGAAAATGTTCTGAAAGGGGGGAGGGGAGCATGATTTGGGCCACATTTAGAAATAAACATGAAACTAATTTGGATGCATTTCTTTATTTAGTATTATTAGCACAAAGCTCATTATAAAGCACTACACACATTATTGGCACTGTACAGATTCAGAGACACAACCTTAAATTATTAATTTCTTGAGTTAAATGGATCACATGCACTTTTCTGTAGCATTTTCTTCTTCCTCCTCAGACTTGCACATGAGTTGCAGGATGTATGAGGAACTGTATATTTCTATTTTACATGCTTGCTATTTAAACTGCTAACTAATGAATCTATAAGAGCAAGACTACGGGCAGAACTTGACCTATCTAGTTGTTTTGTTCTAGGAAAAAAGGAAAGATAGAAATCCTTTTTCCAATTGTATTCTCATGTTCTTTCCTAGTACAGTAAAAGCAGTGCTGTCTGGCACCTTATGAGCCGGCATGCTGGCTTGTAAGGTAAAAGTGAAACCATAAGTGCCCACCGTGGCACTTCCGGTTTCACCAAACCCCCGTGGCCCAGGTCAAAGCAGCCTGTGCTGCCAAGCCCCTATGGCCCAGGGCATAGCATCCTGCGCGGGACCCACCTCCCTGCCCCTCAGGGGCCCACAGGAGGGACGGCCTCTCCATTAACTGGCATATTTTGTTATCTGGCACCCACCATTCTCCACGGGTGCCGGATAACAAAGCTTTTACTATATGTGTTTTTAAACAGTTCAGTCCTATTTCTCCAAATCATTTCACAACTAACGCATGAGAATAATTAGGGAAGTTCCTGAGCTGAATCAAGTTGGAATTTAGCATTCTGGAATAAAAGAAGTCAGAAGAAAGAGTGTTTCTTTCAATTATTTGTGCAAAGATCACTGCTGTTCAAGTGTGTTATTCAAAATTTTTATTTAATTTTTTAATCATTATTTCTTGGTATGCTTTTCATCACTGCAACCATCAGAACGTACACAGTACTGACCTTTACTGTCCCATCATCACTGCCTGTGCAGACAAGCTGGGGTCCCCTCCTGGCTGGGTAACAGGAGTTAACAAATGATGTATGCCCCTTCAGCCTTTTCACTCTTTCTCCCGTCTCACTATCCCATACAGCTACTGTTTTATCTGTGGATGCTGAGAAGAGCATGCTATGGGAGAGAAAGGGAAAGAAAAGGAATATCTATGAAGTTCTGAAACTCTACTCTTCACTTACTCCCAAACTCCAACAGGAATGCTGCTGTGTAGAAGACTAAGTTCAATACTCAGAGGCAAATACAAAAGATGGCTTATAAGTTACTTTAGCAGGGTCTGGGCTAGCCTGATGGTGAAAAAGCCTACTCTGAATATGCCCCTCTCCACCTACTAGAAGGGAATGTACTGGCTCTTCTCTTCCCAGCATGACTTGGTCTGATGGTGGAAAGGAAGAATCTTTTGTAACCTGATACAGTGTCTGATCATGGGAGTCATCTTCCCAAATTAATTAATATCTTCAATAATTGCAGGGGTAGTAAAGAGGACATAAGAACTGTCATTCACTAGGTCAGACAATAGGTCTATCTTGCCCAGTATCCTGTGTCACACAGTGGCAGAGAATAGATGCCAAAAAGGAAAGTGAACAGGGTACGACTAAGATTTTTTCCACTGTTCCTCTCACTTGCAGCCTCCAGCATTTAAAGTCTAGGAAGTTCTGATTCAGAGGAACTAGCTCCCATGCTTATAGCTACTGAAGAGGTAGCCAAGGAGGTATGCAATAGCTTACACTTACTAGCAACAAGTTCCCACTTGCCTGGGATAAGTGTTTCCCAAGCTCTGCCCAAGACTGAAAAAGGACAAGTACAAGTGGCAGCATCTTTCATGAAAACTCTCCCCTAAAACATTTTGCAGAATTAAAAAAAAACAGGAGTTAAATAAGCAAATAATAAATCAAATCAGTTCCATACAACTTACCTGCCATCAGTATTATAGTGCAACTCCATAACTGCGCCACTGTGCCCTTTCAGAGTAGCATAGTTATCACAATCTCCATAAACATTCCACAGCACTAAAGAGAGAGCAAGAAAGAATCATGGAAAGTTACGGATAGAAGGGACCTCAGGAGGTCATCTAGTGCAAAGCAGGACCATCCCCACCTAGATCATCCCAATCATCCCAGCCAAAGCTTTGGGATTTGAAAATAGCTAAGGATGGCGCTTCTGCCACTTTACTGGGTAACCTGTTCCAGTGTTTTACTACCCTCCTAGTGAGAAAAGTCTTCCTAATATCTAACCTAACCTACCCTTGCTGTACCTTGAGACAGGTGCTCCTTGTTCTGTCATCTGCTACCAATAAGAACAGTCTAGCCCCATCTTCTTTCAAACCCTACTTCAGGTACTTGAAGGCTGCTATTAAATCCCGTCTGAGTCTTCTCTTCTCCAGACTAAATAAGCCCAGTTCCCTCAGTTTTTCTTCATAAGCTATGTGCCCCAGCCCCCAAATCATTTTATTTTCCTCTGCTGGAATCTCTCCAATTTGTTCACATCCCTTCTTCCCTTCTGCAGTGGGAGGCCCAAAACTGAAAGCAGTACACCAGCTGTGGTCTCACCGGTGCTGAAGAGAGGGGAAGAATCACTTCCCCTGACCTGGTGGCAACACACCTACCAATGCAGCCCAGTATACTGTTAGCCTTCTTGGCCACAGGGTCACACTGCTGGTTCATATTCAGCTTACTGTCCACTGTAACCCCCAGATAGTTCTCTGCAGAGATGCTGCCCAGCTAGTCAGCCCCCAGCCTGTACCGGTGCATAGGACTATTCCGTCTTAAGTGCAGGGCTTTGCACTTGTCCTTGTTGAACCTCATGAGATTTCTTTTGGACCAATCCTCCAATTTGTCTAGGGCACTCTGAATCCTAGCCCTACCCTCCAGCATATCTACTACTCCCCCCAGCTTGGTGTCATCTGCAAACTTGCTGAGGGTGCACTCTATGCTATCTTCCAAGTCACTGATGAAGACATTGAACAAAATCGGCCTCAGGACTGACTTCTGTGGCACTCCACTTTGATACCAGCTGCCAACCAGACATTGGAGACATTAATTACTACTCTCTGAGCCTGATGATCAGAGAGATCAATACCAGTTTGCTGAAGTCCCCAAAGCAATGCTCTCAGAACTCACTAAAACATAGCATCTGCAATAATTGGCAAGCTCTACAAATACAAGTTTTTAACTAGAAAGTCTTCAAATGATGCATAGGCTTAATGTGAGCCCTATGTGGCTGAGATGGGTGGAAAACTTAGGGCCTTGTTGCATAGTAATTTTGGGCATATTCTAAAGCTCTTAAACCCTGGACTATGTACCCACGCTAAGTCCCAGGGGAGCAAGCAAGGAAGGGTTAACCAGGAAGGGAAGCAGTACACTGTTGCTGCTGCTACCTGGGTTGCTGCTCTGCCTAGAGCCTCTGGGCTGAGTCTGCATAGAGAGCAGCAGCAGCAGCAGCAGCATGCTAGGCAGGTAGGTTAACCCTTTCCTGCCTGCTCCCTTGGGACAGTCAGCCAAGCAGCCTCAAGCAGATGGGGGCAGGAGGGAATTCTGATGGGCAGTGGTGAACTGAGGGAGCCCTGGGGGCAAACTTGGAATTGGAGGGGAGGAGAGATTCTTACTTTTCAACCCTCTAGGCCCTTGCTGGCCTGAAGTGTGACTGCTCCAAATTCAAGCTAGCACTAACACTGATCAACATTCTTGTGGCTCAGTGTGAGACGCAACAAGGTTCTTATGTTAAGTTATACTTAAGTCAGGGGTGTCAAACATGCAGCCCACAGAGCCCTGCCATTTGGCTTTGGGGCTGTTCCCAGGGTCGCCCCTGGATCTAATCAGATGCACGTGGGGAACATCGCATGAGGCTGGTCCATGGGCCAGATCAGGCCTATGGACCCCCTCCCCTTCCTACCTCTACAAGCATATCTGATCTGGTGGCTGCTCCAGTCTGGGACCCATGATGTATGGAATGGATCCCAGGGTGGGCACCGCACATGGTACAGTCAGCTGGTCCAAGACTTGCACTGCATGCAGTGCTTGTAGGTACTATGTGCAGCGCAGATCCCAAATTGGCCAGAGCAGATGCAGTGTGCAGCACAGTCCCAGAGCTGTTGGGGTTGGCATACAGTCCAGCAACTGTGTGAAATGCAGCTGCTGCTCCCGCTGGACTGGACTGCACGTGGCATCCATTCCAGCTACATGCAGCACGAGTCTCAGCAGCTGCAGGGGGGGATCCAGTTTGTGGACTGGCTCCACACCACTCATCCGGCTTGTGCGGCCAGAGGAGTGTGACACCCCTGACTTGAATTATATTTATGTTCTTAGACCAAGCAGAATGTATGAATTAGCTGCCATAGGAAGAACTGACTCTACTGCCCTACTAAGCATTAATATATTATGTTTGGGGACATTCTTTCTTAAGAAACCATAATTACTTTCCACTACCTCAGTACAGTTCCTGTAGTGGAACCTGACATGAAGATCAGTTCAGCCAATCCTAACCGCTGTGACAGCATCTCACACCATGCACCTTGTCATAGGAGGGTCCCAGATCAATCACTAATGACATTCAACTGGTGACCAACACCTTGATTTCGTCTTTGATGTGTTTAAGTTGCCATGTGAGTGCTGACATGCTCGCTCTACTGCCAAGGTGAGCTGCCGCGTAACTGCTTGAAGGCATAATCCAGTCGTTCCCAAGCAGGGTGTCAGAACACCCTGGGGTGCCATGAGATCTTTTGAAAGGTGTGACAAGGTGTGAGAAGGTAAGTGCAGGCTGGTCCCTGTCTGACCACTGCCCCACCTCCTCCACAAAAGGCAACCACTAATAAAGAAATTAGACTTTGAAAGGGGTGCTGCTCAAAGGCCCTTACATTAACTAATGTTAAGTACAATGCCTCAAACTGCTGGCCCGGGCAGCATCTTTGCTCACCACCCTGCACTATTAGGAAGTTCATTTGTACAGCACGGCTACCAGCTAGCAACTCACAGATGAGCCTGTCAAATCCTGCGGAGGCCAAGGTGTTTCCATTAGGGTGAAACTTGCAGCAGTAAACTTCCCCTTCGTGTCCTGAAAGCAGCATAATGGGAGCCTGCAGCGAGGAGCACCTGGGAGGACCCTAGAAGACAGGGAAGGCAGGCAGGGGTAAGGAAGCATCTGAAAGCAGCTGTGGGGGTTTTCGCTGGCTGTGTGCACCAGCTAAGCAAACCGGGGCGGGGGGACGACAGGCCGAGGAGCACAGATACGACCCAACGAGCGCGGAAATACCCAACTCCGCAGGATGGAAGTGGAACCAGGATTTTATGACACTGGAAGCAGCCCCCACATTGTGAAAAGTGCCAGAGCAGGCTGCCACCCCCACCCACAGCCCCTACCATGAGTGCGCCGTGAGGCTGGGCCTTCTGCCCTCGCTCCTTGCACCTGGGGTGGGGGGGAAGAAACACTCTCAACAACCAGCAGCTGGAAGCGATTCGTGGCCCTGTCCAGCACGGTCAGATGTACCATAAATTATCGCATTGTTCAAAAGTTCCCACCCTTGCCTGACGTACGATCAGTGAAAGTATTGGCAGCTCAAAGTGATCATATTTGCTGAAAATAAAAGTAAAGGCATTTAAAATATATGATCAGGACTTGTAGTCGAGACGACACCTTGTATTAACCAACAGGATTTTTGCAAAATCAAAAAATGCTCTGCAAAAAGTCTAATAAAAAGATATCGTCTCAACTACAAGTCCCGATTGCGTTTTCCTGCAGACCAGCGGCTCCCAAACCCTGACGGACTGCACGCACGGCACAACCTTAAACACCACCAGCACATTTTGGTTGTATAAAGAAACTATAATCACTTGTTATTCGGTGCATGGCAGTTTTTCAGAAGATACGATCATTTTGGGCTTCCCAATACGACAACTTCCTATCCAGGACCTGGCAACGCCGCCCCCGCGCCGGGCCCTGCCCCCCTCACTCACCGCCTGCAGCAGCGCCCCCGGGGCCGCCCCGGCCCCGGCGCCTTGCGCTTCTGCTGCTCGATCATGGTCGCGGCCTGCTCAAACCAGGCCTCGGAGGCGACAGGAACCGAAGCGTGGGAAAGACCCGCCTCCGCCCCGCGCCCATTGGGCGCAGCGGCCGGGCTCCCTGCGCTGATTGGCCCGGAGCCTGCGACCCTGTCCCTTCCGCTCTCCTTCCGGGCGCGCTGAGGGCGCTCAAGCCCCCAGTGGCAAGGAGGGGGGAGCAACGGGGACGCCGATTGGCTGCGCCGGGGGCCGCCCCGCACCATGCCGCGTGGTGATAGGTGGGAGCGTCGCACAGCGCGAGGCTGTGCGCAAGATGGTGGCGGCGGAGTACCGGGGTGAGTGAGGGAGAGAGGGAGTGCGGGCGGCGGGCCCGGGGTCCCCTCCTGCCCCTGAGCCCAGGCCGCACGTCCTTCTCCATGCTTGATGCACGGTTGCTGTGACCCGGGCGGTCTGCAGCGGCGCCGTGAGGTGTCAAGCGGCCCCAAAGGTGCCTTAAAACCCGGCTCGTTCTCTCGTCCCCGCGATGGGGGAAGGGGAGGGTTGGGGTTTTTTTTTCTCCCCTCTTTTTTTTTTTTTTTTTTTTTTTTTTTAAATAAAGTTAAAACCCTGCCTGTATTTCCAGCATCAAAAAAGATGACAGCTGAGGGTGGGCAGCGCTGTGCTGTGCCCGTACCCAGCCTCTGCCCCTTACTCCTAAATCGCCCCCCAGGATGCTTTGTGTCCAAAAACTTGTCCAACATCTTTCCTAGCTGCACGGGCTGAGTCGGGGAGGGGCATGCACCGCCCTGCCCTGCCCTGCCCCTGGATCCATCTAGGCAGGTGGTCCGGTAAAAGATATCAAAATGTCCTTATTTTAGTAATTAAAAAAAATAAATAAATAAAAAAGCCCCGATAGCCTGGGTTTTGGTATGGTTCAAGGAACAGTAAGGAAAAAGCACCAAATATTAGAAGAATGTTATTTAGGGAAGTGAGAGGGGGTGATACGGCTGCCATTTGGCTTTTCAATGCCTTTACTGCAGGGGCAGGTGAGTCTGGCGTGTGGGCCAATTCCACCTGGGTGTGGACTCCATTTCCCAGGAGCCTCTGCCTGTGCTGGGGCCAGTTTCCATGGAGACCACCCCCCCCCCCCCCCACACACACAGAGCAGGCAGGATAGGGTGGGCTGGGGTTTCCATGAAGACAGGCCCCAGCAGCGCTGGCAGCAACAGCAGCACCAGCCTCTTTTTGAGGGGGGCTGTGCTGTGGGCAGCAGCAGTGCGAGCTCAGCTGCTGTTGCCTGTGCAGCTTGGAGGGGTGGCTATGGGGAGTTTTGGGGTGACTATAGCTGCCTCTGCTGGCAGGGCGCAGCTGGGCTCCAGAGTAGCTTTGGGATCTTGCGGCAGTGACAGTGGGCTCTGGAGTCAGGGCAGAGCTGTGGTCTTTAGCCTGCTTGTTCTGGGCAGGCATGTGAATGTAGCGGATCGTGGCTGTGCCCTGGCTCCAGACCATGCTGTCATAGCTGCAAGGAGCGGGGGCAGAGCCACAGTCCGCTGCCTGCATGCCCCTGCTCGCAGCATTCAGGCTGTAGATTGCAGTTCTGCCCTGGCTCTGGACCGCGTGTCAGTCACAAGATCCCAACTGGGCTCCAGAGCAACTTTGCACCCAGGACTGCTGGGCCTGGTCTCCATGGAAACCTTCACAGAGTGGCTGGTGCTGGGGTTTCCATGGAAGCTGGCCCCAGCTACGTGGGCAGGGGCTTCTGGGAAATGGAATTCAACCCCCAGCTGGATCCAGCGTTTTGCCTACCCCTTATTTACAAGATAGTCTCTACAGTATCTCCTGGTAAGTATTTTTTAACAGTGATTTCCCAAATATGCCTTTGATATTGTTGTGCGATAGGTAGTAGGAAACTATCTATAAACAGATGGAACTAGTGGCTTTTAAAACGGGTGGGCAAAACTTGCAAGTTACCAGATCCATTTTCCAGCAGTGGATAAACACTATGTTGTATTTCCCTGTGTACAATAAACCTTAGAATATCTCTGCATGGGTGGATCTAGGGGCTGTGGCTCATGCATAGTGAGCTCACTGGCTCATCAGTACAGCTCCAGAACCTATGGGGTGAATGCTGCCACTGCTTACCCTACCCACCCCCTTGCCTGCCACCAAAATCAGCAATGCGGAGGAGGAGGTAAGCAGTAGAGTTCATCCCTAGGTTCCAGAGCCATGTCAGTGCAAGCTCCTCCAGCCTCTGTTCTGACAAGTGGCTGAGCTCAGAGAATGGACTCTCACCGCACATACACTACGCAGCTGAAGGGGGGTATGACTGCACTGTCTAGATTGGTCCTGTGTATATGACACTTGTCATTCAGATGCTTCAAAGAGCTCCCCAGAAGGGGGTAATGTTGTGTTTCCTTTTCATAGGAAAGAGGTACGCAAGAATATTAGTGACTTGCTTGTATTTCATGTAGTGAACCAGGGTTGGCCAACCTCCACATGCAGAGGCTACCCATGTTGCAACACTGCAGGTCGGGCAGGGGATAGCAGCACAATGACAGATTGGGAAGGGTGCAGACCAGATTTGTGGCATGCTTGCCAAAAAGGTTGACCGCCATTGCTGTAAACTATTGGCAGCACTAGTAAAAAGAACCCTGGTCCCTGGGCTCATTCTTTACCCACTGACATTTACTGCTATATTGTACAGTATAATCCCACTATAGCGGTGGGCTTTTCAGAAACTGATTTGTATTACAATCATACTAAAGTGTGCATGTAAACTTTCCAAAAAGGCTTCCATATGTAGTATTTTTAATCATTTAGGACAATATTTTTCCATGAGTTGTCTGTGCATTTCAGTTATGAATGTGGTCGCTCCACAGAGGAATACCATCTACTGAATGAAACTGAAGTCAGATGGAAGAATAGGAATGAATTTTGGAGTGCATACTTCTGAGAGAACTTCCCTAATGAAGTCTGTGAGATTTGAGACAATGGAGACATTGCCTGAACTCTATGAAATTTTCCAAGGAGAGGTATGTATTGTCACTGCTTAGGGTCAGAAAAAAATAGGGAAGGCATGAATGACTTGGGATATTAGGGATAGCTATGGGGCTTTCCCTTTTAAATTTCCAGTTCAGAGTTATCCTTGGTTACCAGCAGGAAAGCAAACAGATGTAGAAGTAGCTAGATAGCCTATGTAAAATCATCTGCTCTTGTGTCAGTCTAGTCTTATGAAGAAAGAGTATTTATATTATGGATGCTATTACCATTACAGATATGCACTAGAATCTTGTCTTAGCATTTTCAGTATGAAGATAAGGAAGGCATAGGATACTGAGAGAGACTTCTCTCTGTTTAGAATTGATGCATGTTGGTGAAGGGAATTTGTTTATGAAGCTCCTGTACTGTGGACAAAGAGAGGACTTTAAATTTACAAATAAGTTTCAGTGCTGACAACGCAGCAGCTTCATAGGTCCAGAAGCTGAAGAAAAATATGGGATCTAATTAACACTTAGTTTTGTAAATATTTACAATACTATGTTTTGTGCGTGGTGGTTTGAGCTGTTGACTTGCTTATTTCCTTAGATATCTTCCAAATAAAACTATAAAAGAACTGCATTGGTAATAGAAAACCCTCCCCTCTTAAGGAGTAATGACTGCTATTTTAAAATGATTAGCTAAATTGTGTTTTCCTAAACAAGATCGTTTTCTTATCCAGCAGGAAAATATGTATCCAGAGATTTCCAGATGATGATTTTCTTATGCAAATCTTTAATCTTTTGACTCAAATTTGAAAGAGATCTTGAAAATATTATTGTTTTTAATTTTGGTGCCATTTGGAGCGTGGGGATAAAGCTTTCTATTCTGCCTCATGCTGTGATACAATGTGACTTTAGCTATTAAAAGCTGATAGCAGCTATTAAAACCAGTGCTCAGTCTGTTGCAACCTGGAGTTCTAAACTATTCTAATATTATAAAAGCCTACGTCTGTCTGTCTATCCGTAACACTTTATTTGCACTCTGATTGGCTGTTTGTCTGCCTATCAGAGTGCTCCAAGCGTGGGGGAGCGCTGCCATGATTCTGAAGCCACTCCAAGGACTGGACAGAGCGGGGTGGGGGGGAGCTGAGGCCAGCAGTGCTGGCCTCGGCTCCCTCACCCTGCTTCCTGCAAGCTGCGCCGAGGACTGGACAGGGGGCGGGGGAGCCGAGGACAGCAGCACTGGCCTTGGCTCCCCCACCCCACTCCCTGCAAGAGGCAGAACAGCGGCAGCATGGGGCATTAGGTGGTGGCATTCCATCCCAGCCCCCTGCTCCCCACCCCTTGTCATTCTTGATGAGCAAGCCCTGTTACCTGGCATTCTACTATCCAGAATACTCTATTAACCGGATTTTCCAGTTGGCTGGGAGAATGGGGCGGGGGAAGCTTGCACGTGGTGGCTGCCACCGCCCCTCACCACCCTGTGCTGCCACCGCTCTGCATCTGGCTGAAACATCCACCCTGCGCTGCTGCTGCTCTGTGTCCAGCCGAAAACCGTTGGCGTCAGGTAACCGGAATTTTAAGATACTTGGCACCCCCCCATTCCCCACTTGTGTCGGATAACAGGGCTTTTACTGTACTACAAAGGACTCGCTCCAGCTATTAGTGACTGAGTTTAGAACCAAAACATGCAGTTCCCTTCTTATTTTTCTAATTAAAAAAAAAAATTAAAACTGACCTGACACTGTTTGAAAATATCATTGGAAGAACGCATCTCCAAATACTAAAGAGAAGAGAAGGAGTTGAGTTTAAGGTGCAGACAGATGTAACACTTGGACTATTCCACAAACTGATTTGGGAATCTGTTCACAATTGTGCTGGTTTAGAGGTGTCCACGCGCATACCAACACAGGTTCCAAGTGGAACAGTCACCTTTTCTAGGCATGAGTGCTGTCACTACTGCTCCTGGTGGTAGTTTATACCCATCCTGGAGCAAGTGCCCCAGTATTCCTTGAGTAGGGGAGGGAAGACCCTGATTGTCTGGATGCCAGGGAAGAGGAAGAAGACTTCAGTTGCCTATAACTGTAGTTTTCTAATTCCTCTCTCACTAACATGGAGTTTCAATAAAGAGCAATTGAGTGCAAGAAAGACAATTCCTGCACATTACCAAAATCTGTGGTGGGACCCTGACTGGCTGCTTTCCTCCCAAGAGCATGTTCTTCCAAGCTAGTCATACATTTATTTCAATTCCTGGTACTGTTCCAGTGTTTGGTACATCACAGGCTCCTTTGGGAAGGAGGAGGGGAGGCCAGTTGGGAGGGAGTAGGGGAGATACCAGGATGCCTTGTTCTCCTTTCTCAGGGGCTGGGTGATCTAGAAGGCTGTAGGGTCTCTGGCCCAAGCTACTGTATTAAGAAAACTTTCCTGAAGGGTGGCCAGGTAGGAAGGAGGTGTCAGGACCAAGAAGCAGGGGCCCAAGGGAGCTGGATATTCTGGGTTTGCCCAGGTTCTCCACAGATTTGAAGCAACAATTTTGCCCTAACTTGCTTATCAGTTTATTTCCATTTGGGCCATCGCAGGCTGATTTGAGGTGGCTAGGTACATGGAAGGGGTACCTCTGCTTCTAGGTTCCCTAGGATGCTGGGTGCTCTGGTGGGCTATTCAAGTTCTCCATATTAGTTGCTGAAAATGGAATGGAATTGTGACCAGTTGTGTGGAGGGAAAGTGCTGTTAAAAACGCTGAGACTGGGCAGACCCTAGAAATGCAGAAGTAGCGGTACCCCCTCTAGCCATCATTCCCTCCCCCCCAACACCCAGATCAGCTTGGATTGCCCCCAGAACTTGGTCAGTTGCCACTAATGGAATAAAACTGACAAGTGGCTTGGGGGAAAAGTGCTGTTCAAAAGTTGCAGACACATTGGATAGCCCCTCTGGAAACCTAGGAGCAGGGGTATTCCCTTACTTACCTGATCCCTCTGACCCCCCTCTTGATCCAATCTATGCCATCACAGGCTAATTTTGGCTGAAGTGCAGGGACTATTGGTTAGGGCAGTAGAGTTCTGGCTACATACCAGAGTAGCCAGTTGCCCTGTGGGGGTTGAGTGTTGAGTGTGGTGGGGAGGGAGGGTAGGGGAGCTGAGGAGTAATACAGTGTATGATGTCTGGAGGACTGACCAGACACTAGTCATAGAAAGCTTGGTGTCAGCAAATAACCAGTTCAAAGAGGACTCATTCAGAATAGTACCTGATTTTTCCATGAGCTTTAAACCATTCTAAATTGGCTTGTACATCTGAATGCTTGCAGTTTAAACCACATTTTAAAACAGTCTGAGTGTTATGTCTGTCTGAACCCTTAGTGTATTCTTCCACCCCTTGCATCTGAAGAAGGGGTGGGCAATTATTTGATCTGGAGGGCCATTTAAGGCGTTTTGGTGAGCAGATGAGGGCAGTAGTCGTACCCCTTCTGTTCCACTCAGCCACATCTGGGTCAGGCAGCATACAGATGAGTCTTTCACTGCCCCTGCATCCATCCATCCCCACCCCCTGTCCAGTTTCCTGTTGGCACTTTAGCTGTGCAGTTCTGGCACTGTGGCAGCCAGGCCTGCATAAGATGGAGCATGATTCAACGTGCCGAGTAGCCTTCCCACCCGCTTCCTGCAATGAGCTGCTGCTACACCAGTAAGTTGGAGTATATTTCCCCTGCAACAATTGGCATGGAATAGTGAGGGCAGCAGCTCATCACAGCAGGCAGGTGGGATGGCTGCTCGATGCGCTGTATTGTGTCCCAACCCCTACAGGCCTGGTGGCCACCAAGCCAGGACTGCACAACTGTGCCGAATGCGTACTCCTGTGCCCTGCCACATCCACCCCGGCCCCAGTTGTGGCAGAGCAGAGTAGTACAGGGCACCTCAGCAGCCCTCCCCCATCATGCTTCCAGCAGTGGCCAACAAGCTGGGTAGGATCAGTTGACAGGCTGGATACAGCCCATGGGTCATATTTCTCCCACCCCGATCTAAAGAGCCTTGTGAATCTAGGGATTGGGTTAAATCCAAGTTAAGGCCTTGATTCTGTACTGAGTTTGGTTGTGCTAAACTGTATTTCTGATTAACTTATTTGAGTTTCTGTGTTGCCTCAGGGGTCTACCTGCACAGAGCTCATTGTGCACTTGAGGTAGTAGTCAGCATTTAGTAAAATTATTATTACCTTTTATGTCTGCCTGAATTAACTGAAATTAATTGGTGGCTATCAGGTCAGGTATAAGTGGCAAAGTGTCCCCTAGTATTGTTCTACAGTATCTTCTCTGCATAAGACCCTTTCCAGAGCTGTTAGTCTGGGTAAATTTTAATGTTGAGAGGTGCCAGAGTATAAAATAGGATGACAGTGAGACTGATGAAAAACTACAACTATTACCCTCTGCTTCCTGTTTCACAGCCCTGGAAATGCTTTAGCTCTTTAAAATTACAGATCAACCCATGGATACCAGTCTTCAACAGCTAGGATTTTAGCTTTAGTTAAGCAGGAAAGGGAAGGCAGGTCACTTCTTTAAGATTGTGTCATGTCCCTGCTCTATGTAGCCATAACCGTGGAAAAAAAACTTTTTTCCCTATATTCTGATTTTGAAAACAAGGTGCATACTGTATTCCAGGATGTGCAAGAAAGTATGTTATACTTTTCCTTGTTTCAAAAGCATATACTCTGATGCAGTTTAGCAAAAAGTAATTAGAAACAGCACAAACCGAGTAAAGGAGGAGAAGGAGAATGGTTTTGAAGGAAATTATTAAATGAAAGAGAAAATCATAGTGTGTAATAAACAAGATCTTTCAGTCTGTGCTTATATTGATTTTTCTTTTAGGTTGCTACTGTAACAGAATATGGAGCATTTATAAAAATTCCAGGCTGCAGAAAACAAGGTTTGTTTCTCCAGACTTGGTTCCATGCTGGTTTGATTAATTCATACAATTATCTCTTTGCTGAAGGACTTGGCATCTTTTAGAAAACTAAAAATCTGCTTGTTGCCTGCATCTGCCTATTTGATTTACTGGTTAGCTAGGAAAACTAGATTTCAATTAGAGAGAGCTGATGATTGATTTTTTTTTAAGTGAGATCTTAAATGTCTCTGCTTAGGCTTTTTAAGAGTCCAGATATCATGGTGCTGGTACTGTGTAACTGTTTGCATTAATGCTAAAAACACTCATTTAACATTGCTCAAATAAGAACAAGTGCATTTCTTGGTAATTGCAAGATGTCACTGAGAGACATTATAAGGCACTAGGCAGAAATAGCCCTTCCTTACAGATTCATGATCCTGAATAGTTTATTTCCCCAATGAAATGGAATTTGGAGGTGGAAGGAAAACAGTGTTGATCAGTCATTGATTTCGCCTCAAGTGCCCCTGCAATTAAAACAAAAAGGTCTAGGCTTTTTTCTGTTTCGTTTTAATGTTGTTTCTGCCTGTTAATACTTAAGACTTCCACAAACAGATTAAATAAGCTATGCAGAGGAAATAGAGGATCTTGCTGTGCAGGCAGGGCTGTCAAATGCATGAAATAAAAATGGGGCGGGTGGAGATTTATTTTTTTTTTCCTTCCAGTTTTGAATTGGAGTTGGAGGGTACTGTTTATACTGATAGTAAGTAGAAAACTTTCAGTTGGAGAAATTGGTGGTATCCCACTGAGGTATGGTTTATGCTCTGTAAAATAACTTAACTGGCAAGATGAGGTTATAGTTTTATTTGTTTGAGTCTCAGAATAAATGTATATGGTTTATTCCAGTTAAAAGAAGATCTTTCTGTTGAGCCTTCAAGCTTAAGCAAGGGTCTTCAAACAGTGGGGATTCTTAATAGCCTTGACGTTACCGGATAAGAATTATGCTGTCGAGACATGAAATGAACTGCTTGTTCTTCCACAGCTGTGTCGGCTCCACTGAATTAACAGAATGGACGCTAGTGAGTGTCTGTTAAGTGAGCACTCTGTCATAGAGCGGTCAAATAACACGAATAAAAAGGCACTGCTTCCAGGAGTTATCTTTTGGACCAATAGCAGTATAAGATCTAAAATAAATGACCTCCTATTTTTCTTCTCCCATGAGTTTGTTTTTCACGTAAGAGGTGTTGACATTGTTTAGTGCAACTGATACCCAGTCCTGCAGCCCTTAGGATATATCTTCTTGAAGTCATCAGGAGTTTTGGATCAAATGAGTCAGCTCCTGGTTGCTGCAAGTATCTTGTCTTCACGCAGCTCATTGCTGAACAGAACACAAGTTCTGCATACATCTTGATGCGCACACAGGCTGCAGATCAGGTTCTTGGAGGAAATTCCCTTAAATTTTTTTTGATAGTGGGACAAATTGAGCATATATTTAAATTGTTGGATCTCTTTTGACAAGAACTATCCTACTCTGAAATGTTCTGAGATGTATGGTGTTTTGTGAGTCTGGAATGGATTTGGGGGTTTAGATAGCTGCATTTTGTTTATATATAATTTTAAAAGATTATCAAATCAAACTCGATTACCTACTTAAATCTTCATTCTGCATGCTTGCACTGATGGAAGCCAGATATTTCATTCTGCTTAAGTGTATTCCTGGACTTATTGCTGTCTCCTAGAGGGCAATATTTGTTCAACCAATAATGTGTTTTATTCCCTCAAAACTACTTCTAGGTCTTGTTCATAAAACCCACATGTCATCCTGCCATGTGGATAAGCCCTCAGAGATGGTGGATGTTGGAGACAAAGTATGGGTGAAACTTATTGGAAAAGAGGTAAAGTCAATCCTGATGTCTTAAGCAATTCGTTACTGAGAAGAATTTTACAACTACAATCTAATAGTATTTATGTTAGTAGAAGCTTAGGGCTCTATTAATTTTCCCTGGTTCACCATGGGATCTGGTATCAAATCAGATGAACCATAATCTGTTTCAGATGAGATCTAAATAAATAATTGCTTATCTGTATTGCATGGCATTGTATAGCATCAGATTAGGAATCTTATACTTAGTAAAAAATTATTTTCTTTTAACATGCAAAGTGCAGCTTATTGTTCATTAGTTAAACTTTTACCTACTGAGGAGCTCCATGACTTCTGTATGGTAAATTTATAATCTATGAAGGTATTTTAGGATTTATAGGAAGAGAGGGTGTGATATGGCTACTAGAAAGGACAGTGAGTTCATTCCTGGCAAAAATGGAGAATTCTCTTAATTCTGCTTGAGGGAACAATATATTTCTTTGATAGCACCTTTAATTCTGCGAAAAGTGATTTGCAGAATTAAAAAAAAATATATGGCTTGTACCTTTTTGCTGCTTTTTATAAAGGAAGTTTGCTGAGAGATCTGTACCATGTTAATTTTTTAAGGGTTGTACTTGTCTAGTGACTGATTGTTAGATATGACTTCTGTATTAAAACATAGAGACTGACTGGAGAGCTGCTAAAATGACAATATCGTAAGAACTGAGAGAATAAATGTTGACCAAGTCAGTGTAGAAAGGATTTTAGTTACCAATCAGATTTTTTTAAAGGAATTTTTAAGCAGAACTGACTAATTTAAATGGTTCACACTTTGGGAAAGGATGTTACACAAATTCAATGATCCCTTCCTTTTGAGAGGGCACTACCATTGTTAAGCTGTCTGCAGATCTTTCAGAAATTGGAGAATATCAGACAGAGAACAAAATCTTTTTTTCCCCCCAGTGGTTTTTCAGCAAACCTTATTTATATGTCCTAAAGAAGCAAAAAAGAAAGAGGCTTTAAGTCCTTCAGAGCTCACTTCTTACATGCAAGTAGGAAGGTTAAAAATTGTAAATCCCTCTAGAAAATTGTAACCTTTGTCCTCATCAGCTCTTTTTTATTCTTTATAAAACATACTTTCTGAATTGTTGAGCTCCTTGCTTTTCTCTAGGAGGTGAAGGGAAGATGGATAATAAGGGTAAAATAAATTACTGAAGCATTACTTATCATTGTGATTCTGTTTGAGTGTTCATTTTGTGAACAGATAATGGAAAATACCTCCAAGATTTGGCTTGACTGCAAACTCTGTTAGTTCGACCAGGGCCACACAATTACAGTCTGCACAAATTACAGATCACACACGAATGTTGCTCCTCAGTGAGCATCTACCATATTTACTTGAATCTAAGATTACCCTGAATTTAAAACAGCCCCCGAATTATTCAGTTGTAGACATGGAACATTTATAAAGTTGGTTTAATCTTTCTTGTCCAGAATCTAGTTATTGGAAGGTCCCCTTAGATTCATTGCTCCCCACTGGTGCAATAGGGAAAGTAGTAGCAGAGAAAGCAGCGGAGGCAGCCTGCCCCATGCCCTTTGTTGTCCCCCTCCCCCCCTCCCCCCAGTGCCGCCTTCTGCCTATCAGTTGTCCCCTTTTTGTGCCTGACCTTCTCCTCCCTTCTTTTGCAGCTACTATTGCTCTGTCTCTGCGGGGGACATGGAGCACTGGCCAGGCCAGGCTCCATCTTCTGCCTCTAGGCCCAGTGGGGTTGGGTCTGGAGCTGCAGCAGCAACCGTGCTGCTCTCTGCGCCCCTTCCCTATGCTGTCCCTGCACTGCATGCCCCTTCCCTGCCTCGTCTTTCTCCACACTCCACTTCACCTGCACCTTACAAATCCCTTTCCCTGTGCCCCATCCCCAGCACCTTTTCCTTGCTCTCCGCGCACTCCATGCATTCTTTCACTCATGCTCCCCCTGCCATCCCTGCCCAGGACCATGTGCCTCTTCCCCATGCTTTCCTCAGCACCGTGACTACAAACTGTTTCCCAGTGTTTCCCCCTGCACCGTGTGCTCTTTCCCCACGTGGGGTACAGGGGGGAGCATTGGTGAAGGGTGTGCGGTGTGGGGGGGACCATGGAACAAGGGGTGCTCCTCATGTCCCTTCCCCTGTGCTGTTTCCTTGCACTTGTGTCCCTGTTTCTGCTTGTTCTGCTGTGCTCATCCCTTCCCTTCGAATCCCGCTCTGCCCTTCTCCTCCCATGTTCCCCCACGCACCCCTTACTTGTGCTTTCCCATGGACCCTGTAGCCACATGCGCCACCCTCTGGAACTGCAGTAGCTGCTTGCCTGGCCCGTACTCTAACGTATGATGAGAGTTTTCTGCCCCCCCCCCCCCAGCTGAATTGTGGGGGAGAGGTGAGGTACGACAAATTGCCTTATATTCAAGTAAATATATTAAAAGATCACATGCTACATGAAACCCACTCCTGTGAGCTAATACGAAGATCAGGAGTTTATTAGGATTTGGAAAAGTATAAGCCTTTAATACAAATAATTAGAATATTCCCAGTTATGTAAGAGGATAACAAGGTGTAAGGGATATAAAGTCTCAGAGAAGAAGACAACCACAAACCGTCTAGTCCAGGAAGCAACTTTTCTTGTGGGCAGGTTATTTAATAATATCCCATTTAAGAGTCATCTTGCACCTTTTCCCCTGGCTAGGATTAAAAATGGCAAATTGGTCATTCGTGTATGTTTTTTTTTTCCTGAGATAAGTTAATGGACTTTAGTATATTAACAGTGCTACCAGTTGTAAGTACAATTGAAATACATTTTTCATAATAAACATTTTGATGTAGCATCTGTACCAGAATAGCACACATTCCTGTGCTAGGTGACAGATTTCTCTGTGGTCCCTAGTGGTAATTAACACTGCTGTCTTTCTCCCCACATGTTCATTTGTTTCAGATGAAAGACGACAAGTTGAAGCTGTCTCTTTCTATGAAGGTTGTCAACCAAGGAACAGGAAAGGACCTAGACCCAAACAATGTTTCCCTTGAGTAGGTAAATCTCCTGAGCTGGATATAACAAGCTGGCCAGATTGCTCTTGTTCACACTTTCCTCTCCTTAGTTCCCTGCTCCCCTGATGCAATGTGACCTGTTTCTCCTGCCATTGAAGAGTTATCCCTCAAGCCCATTAGTGACATAGATGGAGACATCACCAAAAAATGTTTCCTCAGTCAGGTTGTCAGTCCCTGCCAGCCTGTGCACAAAGCACTGCAGGCAAGTCCCAAACCTCATATTTGACAGCAAAATATTCTTTTTCCTAATGACACTTTTGAGGTATCTTTCTTCATATCCTGAAGGCTATATTCAGGCTACCATTGTGGGTTTGGGTTTGATTTTGTTGTTAACATGCAGCCCCACTAAATTGTACAAATGTATCAAAGTCCCCTTGCTTGCTCTTTACTGTGACTCCATTTAATTATTTTACTTTGGTTAACATGCATCTGTAACTGTGTTAAGGTAGAGTATCTGTGAGGTAGCTTTGAGAACAATGGCTTTATATACGCTGGCTGTACAAGTTTGCCTAAATTTTGTAACTTAGTAGTGAAGTGTAACCTATTTTACCCAGAAACAAACAGACGGACATCGTATTAGTTTTCTGTGCCCTACTCCTACCAAGTACTTCCTCAGCTGCATTAAGTAGAACATTACCTTTTAGATGCCAGCTATGGATTTAGATGTTTATCTTTAAGCAACTGTTTGAAAACTCAGACAAAAGTTTCCAAGATAATACATTAAATTGAACATAAGACCATAGGTAAAAATAATCTCTTGTTTTTCCAGTCAAGATGAACGGAAGAAACGTTCATTCAGAGACTACACTAGTCAAAAGATCACCCTTGAAGCTGTTTTGAACACCACTTGCAAGAAGTGTGGCTGCAAAGGTATGCTTGTATACTCATTCTTGTTGTATTGTGCTCGTTTTTGTCTTGACTTACGTTATAGCCAGAAAGTGACTGCAGTTGAAACAAGATTTCCTCCTTTCTTGCTTTAAAGATTGACTGTAGTTTACCAACTTGGGTAACAAGGAAGAGCTGTATTTTTTTTTTCCTATTATTTTTGTATCTGATGTTGCCTAACCCCTTGCAGATAAAACACTTGTAATTTCATCTGTTTAGATATTTGCTACTTATCTCAATTATTTTTGAAGTTCATTTTCCTCTTCCACATATAGTACAGTGTTTCACAGATAGGATACTGTTTTTTATTGTGCAGTTAAGAAAATGAGACTCTTTGCCATTCTCACCACTTAACTATGGGTGTGGACAGGTTGGTTTTACTGCTTTAAATGATGGAGGGGACTTACTGCTCATGAGCCTATATCAGCTGTTTTGTAGGTATTGGTTTTATCTGTTTGCTCCTGTCCCACAGTAAGTGAAGCTGAACTGCAGTGATTAACCACTGAAAGAAACAGAGTACTTTATTGCAGTTTAGATTCCCATTTCCCAGGATAGAGCAGATAGATAAAAACAGTAACAGCAAATTCAGCTGACCTTTCCTCCTTTAGCTGTTTTAATTGTTTCATCTCCATGTGTATGCCAAGGGAAACCAATGGAACAGCTTAGTTCCATCACTTACTAAGAACAGGATGCATGCAAATGGTTGCTTTAGAATAAAAAATGAGCAAGTTTAAGAGGAAGATTTTTGTGCTAAGGTTGCTGAGGAAGTGAGTCTTGGTTTAACTGATGATTTTCTTAATTTGTTGTGATTTTGTTGTTGTTGTTGTTGATGCAGTCTGTAGTCCAGCAACATTAGCTTTCAGTTAAAGATGCTGATTGCATGTGGGATTTGTATTCTGCCCTACTTTATCTCATGTTGGTCATTAGATAATGGTTATGCTGGACTTCGTGCTGTGCTAGGAAAAGTTAATAAGCATGGGCTTAAACATACTTTCTGTTAATGCTAAAGGTGGATCCCTGGCCAGTGAAGATGGCCAAATGCTGCTAGAAAGCCTTCCTTTATGTTACATCCCTACCTAGTTCAGTTATATATATATAATTTTTAATGGTTTTGTTCCATCCCTAATGGCCGGGCAATCTGTGTTGGCAGGAGCTGTTTTTAGAGCTCAGCAATTGGTCTGTAAATTGTTATCTCTGGGGCAGATTCAGAACAAAGCTAGTTTTCAATTGTTATTTTTTATGACTTCAGTGTCACTTAAGAGGCTTCCTTGACATTGATTTAAGCCCTCTGCTTTATGCTCCCTTGGTTGCTTGAAGCCCCTGCCCTGGCAAGTCTGCTATATCTTTCTGTTCAGACACCAGGATATTTGTTTTGCCTGATTAACACAAGGTCACTTAACAGGGTTTATATTCGCTATCCCCAGGTTGCTTAATCAGTGAAGATTAAATATTGAATATTAAAGGATACATGCAGTGTAACACTTCTTATTGCTGCACCTAATAATGAAAGCTTTAATGTCTTTAATGTCTTAATGTAATTTAAATGTCTGAAATTCAAGGGGGGGGAAATGAAATGCTATTTTCATAGTGTTGTAAGGTGGATCAGGTCTACTTGGGTTCAGTTTCCAAGCATTGTTTTATGTATAATAAGCATGCATGCAAACATACTCTACTGGGCTACAGTTGACTCACAGCATAGAATAGACAAATGTAATAGTTGTATAGATCTCAAAGGATGCCAGTATAAGCTGTTATGAAGTAACAGCTTCATCATGCTTGGTTCTGTTGCACTACAAATGTAGCAAAACTGCTTCAAGCTACCGCCCTATTTCATTTGGGTTCAAAGGTTTAGCTAATTTGTCATCTGCATGCTCCTGTAGCAGCCATATAGCTAGATTGGAACAGTTGATGGTGTCCCTTTTAAACTAGTTAAAATATGTTTGATTAATTTAGAGTCTGGACAAAGCATGTTTTTCTTCTAAATTACATGTTAAATGCCTGTTGATCTTATAGGGCCTAATTTATTTCAGTGTTTCACAAAAATGAACGAACACTATCTATCCTTATTTCACAAGGGAGGAAGCAAATAGATGATATGACTTGCCCTGGGTCATCCAATAAGCCAGTGAAGAGGCAGGACTAGACCTTTTGTCTTCTGAGTTCCTGTCTAATTATCTGGCCACTATACCACACTGTCTGAAAGCCTGCTTTTTCATGGTATCTAAATTCTCTCCTGTCTCTGTAGAGCACAAAACAGCCCCTGAATGGAGATTCTAAATCATTATTTTATTTTATTTTTAAGTACTAGAGGGTTGTGGCCCCTGCAAACTATGTGCACTGCATGCATATCGGAGGCTCAGTACATTATAGCATCTTCTCTGTGGCTCTCTCCTAGTATAACAGGGACTCGCTACAAGTCCCAGTCCCCACTGCCTTGTGCTTAGGAGTTCTGTAGTTTCTGTTTTCCCCCTTCACTGTGTGTCAGGGCTTTTGTTTACCTTGTTTGTTCTTTGTGCCAGGGTCCCTCATTCACTTGCTGCCTCCTCACTTTTTTTATATCCTTTATTCCTGGGAGAGAAGTTTTAAAGTCACCATTTTCTGCTAAAATGGGACAATGAGCAGAGCTGAAATGGAGATGTGGGACTAATAGCTGCCCCGGTCAGTGTTCTGATGCACAGACAATGACAGATGTGGTCAAAGCTGTTTCCATTTTTAATCAAAATCAACAGGTTCCTGGCCATTTGTGGTTAGAACATTCCCTGACAAGTTAGAATTAACTTATGATATCATTCAAAAGTTGAGAGATGGGGAAATGCCATTGAGATGAGTTTAGACCTAGTTTTTGTCAGTTGGTTGCAGATACTAATCCTTTCCTCATCCCTTCCTTTCCTCTGTCCCTTTTGAGTAAAAGATGCAAGGTGGGGGTACTAACAGGCTATTCTAACTCATGAGCAAATGCTTTTGTACTTTGCACATGGTGTAACAAAATCAAATAGATGTAACAGTCACTCCCATTTTCAGTATCCAGCAGTTTCAGAGAGTGCTGACTGAGCAAGTTAGTTCATTATTTACCCTAACCCTAGATTCAGTCAAATGTACTTTTAACAGACACTCACAAGGAGCTCTCACACCAGTGGGGGTGTCCTTCAGCCCCAGACCCCTCTCAGCTGTCTGCTACTTGACTGCCGAAAATAGACTAAGATACCCTGGGCCAAAAAGTTGGCTCTGTGGCATATCTCAGTTTTACCCGTCTCACCCATGTTTTGCCAGCTCTTAACAGAAGAGATTTTGCCAGCTAGAAAGATCATGCTCTTTTCTGCTCTTGTGCTCAGAGATTACAGATCCCGTCCTTCCATAGAAGAGGCCTGTATGCATGGTGAAATGCTCTGAAATCATGCTTGCCACTAGCAATAAGTAAGCTATAAGGAATGAGAGAGGGATTTATTGTAAAAATGAGCACTCCTAAGAAATCAGTAACTGTATGTTGGGGTACAGACAAAAATATAAGATTCAACAAACAAAAGAAAATATCGGAGCAATTATTTTACTTTATCTCTGCATCTTAGCCCTACACTCTAAGAATTCAGCTTTCACTTTTGTCCAAGCCAAGATATTCTCCCAAACACTCAGCCTGCATTGCTAAGCTAAGTCACTGGCGGACTAAAGCACTTTACACCCAGGAAACTTTAGACAAAATTTGCTAATGTAGTAAGGCTGAGGTATGGTTTCTTATTTTAGCCATTTACATACATCTGAAGCATTCTCAGGAAGCATATGCACCTTACTCTGGTCTCAGTAGTCAAACAGGAGACAGCAGAGAGGAGTTAGGGACTGAAGAACACCTCTGTAGGTATGAGAACCCCCTGAACATGTCTCTCAAAGGTGTATCTGACCAAATTTGGGGTCAGGATGTCTCACAAGAACTCCACTGGAGTGGGACTTGTATAGTGAGATAGTCCCTGCCTTATGGAGTTCACACTGTAAATAGATAGCCAGACAATAGAGTGGTGGGGACAGATGAGGGAGCATGGAGAAGGGAAGAGTTCTGCCCAGGCAGCTCCATGATAAAGGTGGAGTCACCCACTGTATTCTTTTGGTCTTGATAGGATGTTATGTCATTTTAAGTGATATTTCTATAGTTTTAAAATCAGCATACTGAAATGACCACTATAGAAATGGAGTCCAATTTTGAATGTTCATGTTGATCCTGGAAAGGAGTTCCCCACTAAGGAAGGGTTTGTTATTTTTATTTTTTTCTTCCCCACTTCAAACATTGCTTTGCAGGTCATTTTGCCAAAGAATGTTTCATGCAGCCTGGAGGGACCAAGTACAGTCTGATTCCAGAAGAGGAAGAAGCAGCAGAAGAATGTGAAGGAGATAAAAAGCTCAGTCAGCCTGACAGTTCTTCAAAGAAAAGAAAAAAGGTACAAGGTTTATTCCTCCTATTGTAGTTGGATGCAGAAGTGTGTTCCAGGTGACAAATGTCACTCCAGGGAACATGTTAACTTATAAAGAAAAATAATGAGCAGGCAGCTCAGTAGTTTGGAAAAGGGCAGTGGCTGGGTCTTGTACAGTTTCTGAGGAGAAACAGGAAAACTTTATGCAACTTTTCAAGTTATCCGTAAGCTAGTTTCATAAATTCACCTTGGATATTTCTAAGGTCCCTGTTATCCTAGTATCCCGCCCCCCGCCCCCAAAAAACGGTGCTTTACTTTAAACCTACTATGCCTCCATGCTGAGCCCAGCACATGGCCAGAAGAGGCATCGTGTTACTTTGACCCAGCTTGCCCAACATCTATATAGATCAGGCACTTCAGCAGGGCTTTTTTGGTGCTGTAACTAAATCAGCTTTAGATAAAAGCACCAAAGAACCCTGCTGAAGCACACAATCTATACAGATGCTGCGGAGCTGAGTTGACCTAATGCGCTGCCTCTTCCAGTAAAGAACATGGTTTTTTGGTTGGTTTTTTTTTCATGTCTGTCAGCATCCTGAGTGGTTTTTATAGTGAGGAAGGGGATGTCTTACTGTCCATCCCCCAGTCTCGTCATATTTAAATTGCCTGGCTCTCTGAAGTGGATTGCCTCTTGTCCCCTGCCCCGTCCCCACCCGACTAGCATTCTCTTTCTGTCCCCTCTGCACCCCCCTCCCCCCCTCAAAAAAAATAAAAATTAAAAAAAAAGGCTAGGGGCGGGGGGGCAGGGCTTAGGAACTGATATCGTGACCAAACCTAAATGACCTAGTTTCATCCACACGCAGGCTCATATTCCATCATATTTCATTGCCAGCTCTGAAACGAACTTGCTCTTTGTTTTTCTGTTTCACTTTAATTTATGAGGATTGGGAGAGAGAGATCATATATCTATTACACGCTACTATTTGATGCTTCTGCTTTGATGCAGTGATCAAGTATATAGTAGTATCCATTGCATCAGCCTTAGGCTGCAATGCAGCTCCTTCTGCTCTAGACCCCAACCATATCAGCTTTAATTTGACATTTACTTTGTAACTCATTTCCCACAGCTGGGCCACCTAAGCCCCATTGTGTTACTGAAACTGCTGCTGTTCTGAGCATCTGAGTTAAAAGCAGAATGTCAGACTACAAAATACTTCCAGTGCAGAGTGCCTCTCATGTGCCATATTGCAGCCATATTGTTAATCTGTTTTCCTTCAACTTCCTCCTCCCCACTGTATTCTTATACCGATGACATCTTAGATTTGAAGTTTTAAGTTATACAATTCTTCAGATAAAATAGATTAGCAGGAGAAACATTTGAGACCAAGACTTGTGCATTCTTTTTATTCTCTTCTCCAAAACAAATGATTGAATGGACAGTTCATTTATCAGGGAACTACAGCTCTGCCCCTTGCTCCCCACCCCCGTCTCAAATTTTTGCTCTTGCCTTCCTGTTTGGGTTGAGTCATGTGGTTCTCCCTCTCAGGCCAGGCTTTGACATAGCAGTCTGTTATGATCAACCAGATTTACCTTGGCAGGCCTGAGTTATCATTAATACCTGAAGTTCTGCTGTCCAAGAGGAGCCAGTGGTGGTAGACAGTGACAATGACTTTCTTACAGCAGTGCTATTTCATTATCACAGAACAGCAAAAGGGATTTTATGCATATTTAGCCTATAGCCTCTCCATCTATAGGAAGAGCTAGCAGAAAAAAGCTCCCGTAACTCTGAGTCAACTGGAGTCGGGATCAGTCTCTTCCCTTAATTTATCATCAGTTTGGTCAGTCAGTCGGTCTCTCCATCTCTTTCTGTTCTTGCTTTGTGCAGTCCTTTAAATGTTATATGTTCCTTTGGTCATTTCCTGTCTCCAAGAATTAATCACTTTTACTGCTCTATCACCCTTTGATCAGTTGGTTCCAAGCATTGTAAAATAAAACTTGTAACACGTTGGAGACATGATATAGGATACCCACCGCTAATTGCTTTCCCAGTTGTCTCAGGTGTCTGTGTAACAAGCACTCATTCCAGGGGTGGCCACAATTCCCCCCTGGTGGCTGCTCAGCCCCTTGCTCTGCCCTCACTCCTCCAGCTTACTCCATTTCTCTTGGCCTGCCATGCCTTGTTGTTCTTAGATTTTTTTGAAAGTGAGGCTGCCCCAGGGATCTCCAATCCCATGTTGGTATTCAGGTGACTCTACTTTACCTTATGGGCATATAACGTGGCTCTAACCACCCCTTACACCATGCCCATACCTTGCAGATGTCATTGTTCACTATTGAACTGTCTCTGGCTCTGTGTACACCTAGGCACTTTTCCCCACTTGGCTGCTCCCAAGTGCAGCTCTGGATCCCTGACCCTGATCCTGCCTCTCCTGAGGCACTGGACCCCTGGCTCTGACTCCACCCTTCTCTGGGCTGCGGGTGCCTGACCCTGTTGGTCTCTGGCTATGGTCTGTCCTGGACCTTTGGCTGCTCCTGGGCTCGCTTCTAGGCCAGTTGAGACTTCAGGGCTCCCTGGCCCCACTTGGTCCTCCTGGGCCTACAAGTCACTGACTCTGCTTCTCTCCCTTTGCGGCCTATGGGTCCCTGATCCTCCTTGATCTCACAACCATCCACCTGCTTATCCCAGTGTAGGTGTTTGCCAGGAGCCTGGCTGCAGCCCTGCTGTTCAGGAGTTTTTCACATCTTGGCTGCCAGAATCAGATCATGCCCAACTCAGGCTCTAGGCTTGTATCCTGTAAGCCCAGCCCCCTTTGGGTTATGTGACTTCTGATCGCCCCTTGCAGCACCTCTAGACTGCTCCATTTGCAGTCCGCCTTCACTTAAAGTAACAGGAGCACCAAGCCTCCTGTTACAGTCTGTCGCATGACGTTCTCCTCTGGGAACCGTTGAGTTGCCTTTTTGCTTGTCTTTCCAGCAAACCCCTTATTAAAGCTGTAGTAATATATTTGTACAGAGTATTCTCATAACTCGGTATAACTACATGGTAAACTTGATTCTACAGACCTGGATGTATTCACATTCTTAAATTTAATATAGAACAGTTCCATGTCACCATATTGCCATCTAATGAAATGGCCCTAGCTGTAGTTTATCCACAATTCCTGTCTCTAAAAGGGATATGTAGACATCCTTACTTTTTGGCATAGTAGCATAAGAATAAGATTAGAAGTCAGCCTTGGGTCCCTCCTATTTTGAATGATTTGATAGATCTGCACTTATTGTACATAACTTAAAATGCACAATACTTTGAGACAAAGCTTGCAGGCTGCATGCAGTATAAGAAATGGGACATAGCATTGCAACTGGGATGTTTGTAAAGGGGTGAGTTGATATTATCAGTTTTAATTTACTATGAAAAGTGTAGATATTGTAGTAACAAAGCACCAAAGATAACAACAAGTATTATGAAAGATGCCTCAAGAATGTTGTTATTTTAAATGCTTTAACTTTTTAAAATTCTTTTTGGACATGGGAGGGCAAAAAACCCCTCTTCCTCAGAAAAATGGTATATTCTGGCCAGGCTGAGCTGCTGTAGTGGGGAAACATGCTTTAAAAAAAAAGAAAAGTGGGATCTTGTGTTGCTGGCCCAACCAGCAGATTTACCCTCTAGAAGGGGTCAGCTATACCCAGGAACAAAAATGAATCCCCTTTAACATGTTCCACTTGGGTGTCCAGTTTTCTTCTGAAATGCATTGCATCATTTTCATTCCTGGTGTTTATGACTTCAGTGGAATTACATTATAGATAAATATGACACATTAATGCTGTTTTGTCTGCAGATTCATTCCATGAATTCCCCCTCTGTGAAGTAGTTCTTAGAATTCTTCTTGCATATGTTCCCTTTTCACTGAAACCTGCACCTCCTTAATCCCCATCTGTTTGATGACTTCTAGGTCATTAGGAATAACTCTGTGCTAACCCTTGGCTAGCATAAATACTTGTTCTGCCATTTCTTAACTGTTTCCTGTCTCAGAGTTAAATCCCATTCTTTTCAATCCCTCTTCACATTTAAGCCTCTTTCCTTTCACCTGCTCAGTCTGCTGTGCTCTCTGGAGCTTTGCTACATCTTTCTTCATATGAAGAGCAGCACACTGGACTATGTCAATCAAATGTGGTCTAACTAGTACTTTAAAAGGAATGGAACAATATAATTGGATTTACATAATGGAGGTCTTGCTGAAAATGATATCAGGAGTAAATCTAGAGGGGATACTCTAATTTTTGCTGAGAGCCACAAAGGTATTAAGGTCTGAATATTGTAGTTGAGACCCCTGGATTTCTCATATGGAATGGACTACCAAGTCTTTACAGTAAGAGCTTCATTCCCCACTACATCTTGTTTGGCTGTTTCAGCTACTTGGTAAACTGTGGGTTTCCTTGCACCCTGAAATTAAATACATTTCAGAAGAATAAGCTTTCTTAAAAAATAGCCTAAGAACAGGGTGACACTGACTCACAGGTGACTTTACAAAAGAATTAGAATGGTATTATATAAGTGTGTATATATACACTTCCAAGCTGCAACTTCAAAATTATCTTCCTTGCTCAATCATATATGTTCTCTTGTTTGCCAGTTTCCAAAATCTGTAAACTATACAGGTGAATTTAAGTCTGATTGGCTCCATTTTAGGGGAAGATGCAGGCCCAAATTAGGCTTGAAGAATAAAATATCTTAATACACCAAGTTGCACATTTGTTCTGTGTGTCTCAATCTCTGAGCATCTTTGAATCTGGGTCCCATTTAACAAAGAAAAGGAAAGTCCACCCTAATTTCTGATTCTACAGACTCAATCTGAAAACCAAACATCTAGCTAAACTTTTGGCTTATTTGCATTATCACCAAGAAACTGGTTTAGAAACCAACTTCTCCACAATACAGCTTCTTTGCTGTGCAGAATTTAGCATCTTACATAACTTGTTCTTTCATAAACAGAAAACCAGACTCATAGTGTCCAGATTTCCGTTTTCAG